CGGAGGGCCAGAAGGGCGCGGCTCGAGTCCGATCCTTTTGTTGGACGGCGCGACTCGCGGGGTTGCCCGGGAGAGGAGCAAGGCCGGCGAGAGGCCCTGGGAGCGCGGCTCAGACTGAGGCCTGGGGACCCTGAGGGGTTGGGGGGCTTGATCTGCGCCTTGGGGCTGGCAATCGAGAGGCTGCGGAGGGGTCACTTCCTCCCTCTCCAGGCTTCGGTGGCGGCTCAGGCGGGGCATGCGCAGTCCCCCACCTAGCGTTTTGTGAATGCCCAGAGCCCGGGGGCACCGTTGACCGATTGGCTAAGGACCAAGGAGACCAGCCCTGGGCCTTGGCGGGCGAGAGGTGGCCCAGCGGCGCCCTGGGCCGGGTGGAGGAGGGTGCTCTGGTAGGCACGGTGGAGTGGGCAGGCAGCCAGGCACACGCTTACGGACCCCTGCTCAGTGCCACGTCCCAGGCTGGCCGTGGGGGAGGCATGTGAAGGGTGGGTACAACCGTGACTTACACAGGGCTCTCTGCCCTCCGAAGCGCTGGTGCTGAGGGTCAGAGGGATGGGCCACCCCTCAACAAGCAAGCCAACAAGCTCATTTCAGCTCCTTACAAGTGAGGTAATGGAAATAGAAACAGGAGGTGAATCTGAGCCGAGCCTCAGAAAGATAAGGTGGAGAACCTGGGGAGCCTCTTGCAGATCCCCTGCCGCCCGCCGTTTCCCAGCAGGACCTTTGAAAACACAATTCATGCCCCGGCTTTCCAGACTCCACAGGTTTCATGGAAACCCTCCTTTCTGTAGTCATTATCTGTTATTACACTCCTTCCTGATAATCCATATTGTCTCTCTCATTCTGCCTTTGAGCCTTTGCACTTGCTGTTCGCTCTGCCTGGAAAACTAACTCCCACCCCATCCCCCTTTTCTATATTCATCCTTTTTGTCTCAGCTCCAACAGAAGCCTGGACTACCCAATTTAAAGTAACTGCCCCCAAGTCATACTCACAATGCTGTTGTCATTTTCTTCATGTCCAAATTCTACTCAAGTAATGTTTATTTTATTTATGGCCATTCCCTCCCCAGGTGTCAACTCCAGCACAGTTTATGTCTTTGTCACTGCTGTGTCTCTGGTGCCTAGAATAGTACCTGGCACACAGTAGCTGCTCAATAAGTGTTGGTGAGGTGAATGAAAGAGTGAGCTGGACATGCTCTAGGAAGGGAAGGGCCTGCAAACCACTGGAACAGAGTGAGCAAAGGGAAGAGGTGGACAGGGGCTGACTGTGGAGGGCTTTGCAGGTCGTTTGGTTTTACTCTTTGTGCTATAGAGAGTTGTGGGGGGAGTTCTGAGCAAGGAAGGGACATCATCTGATATGTTTTAAGATGGATCCTTGGGCTGGTGAAGCTATGGGACATTTAGCAAGAACAAATGAATGCTGCTTCACCTGGGCTTGTCAAGGAAAACTGGTCTAGGAGTCACTTTATTTTTAAAAAGGAGGCCTGGCCCAGGCCCTGCCCCCAGCCCTGTGCTCTCCCTCCTCCAGGCCCCTGAGTGTCAGTGGTGGTGTTATCCCTTGTTACCTGGAACACCATGCAGCCGCAACCGAGGCCTAGCGGGGCTGGGACCCACACCCGATTTCTGCCCCTGAGGTCACAGCGCCCTGAGGGTTCAGGGGACACAGTGATGTACGCCTCCACCGAGTGCAAGGCTGAGGTGACACCCTCCCAGCATGGCAACCGCACCTTCAGTTACACGCTGGAGGACCACACCAAGCAGGCCTTCGGAATCATGAATGAGCTGCGGCTCAGCCAGCAGCTGTGTGATGTCACTCTTCAGGTCAAGTATCAGGACGCACCAGCTGCACAGTTCATGGCCCACAAGGTGGTTCTGGCCTCATCCAGCCCTGTCTTCAAGGCCATGTTCACCAACGGGCTGCGGGAGCAGGGCATGGAGGTGGTGTCCATCGAGGGTATCCACCCCAAGGTCATGGAGCGTCTCATAGAGTTCGCCTACACAGCCTCTATCTCCATGGGTGAGAAGTGTGTGCTCCATGTTATGAATGGTGCCGTCATGTACCAGATCGACAGTGTCGTCCGTGCCTGCAGTGACTTCTTGGTGCAGCAGCTGGACCCAAGCAATGCCATTGGCATCGCCAACTTCGCGGAGCAGATTGGCTGTGCTGAGCTGCACCAGCGCGCCCGAGAGTACATCTACATGCACTTTGGAGAGGTGAGTGAGGGGAGGGAACATGGAGCAAGGCTTGGGGGTGGTATCAGAAGGACCAGGGACCATGGCTGGTCATCACTATCTCCCTTGAGATATGAAGGGTGAAGGCAAGGAGATAGAGAAGAGTGGAGCTCTGAACTTCTAGTCTACACATCTAGGGTGACTCTGGGAAATAGCTGAGGCAAGTGAGACCTTCATGGGTATCTGTGCTCCCTGATTTCGTGGGTCCAGGGTGGGGACAGGGTGCAGCAAACATGACAGCAGCTCAACCCTGGTGCAGAGCAGGGCCCAACATTTCAGACAGTCAGCAAATATTTCTTGAACACCTATGGCATGCTGCTGACGGCAAATGTGACCCTTAGGCATGTTTTCTTTGGTCCATGCAGTGTCATCCTATGTTCTTGGTTTCGTTTTCATTTTTACGTGGAGGAAGTTATGAACAGAAGAAATAATAAGTGCTTGTTGAGTCTTTGCTGTGGGCCAGCCTCTGTTCTAAGTGATTGCCATCCTTTAAATCACTGAATCTTCCTAACTATCCCAGGAGGAAGTATGCATTGGAGGGCCTTCCTGGAAGTATTCAAAATCCTCCTTCAGTGGCTGGGCCCACCATTTCTCTTCTTCCCTCTACATCACATGTGGGTTTGACCAGTTGTCCTGAGGAACTCTGGCATTAGTGTTAGGACTGATGGCTTCCAGAAAGGCATTGGCAAGCAGGCTCTTCCACTGGCCTGCACCGTGCTTGTTTGAAGGGATTGCATGGGTTTGGGGCACCAGAACAGTGGTAACCTGCTGATGTGGGGTCTATTTTTATAGACCAGTGCCTGACAGGAAAAATTTGCCCTGGGACCCTGTATGCCCTAGGAGTATCCCCATTATGAGCTACTAACAATCCCCTTTATAGAGGAAAACAAAGGCATGGAATGTTTCAGATATTTGCCCAAAGTCATCCAGTTAGAAAGTAGTGAACCAAAATTACAACTCAGGCTACTTTCTTCAGAGCCTTCACTTTTTTTTTCTAGAATATTCTATTGCTATTTTTTTCCTTTTTAGTCACTTTGCCGTTTTGAAAAAGTCATATTTAACAAAAAGAAAAAAAGTAGCCCTGGGCCAGTAGCTCAGCTGATTAGAGCGTTTCATACCCCGGTGAGGGCACATACAAGAACCAACCAGTGAATGCATGAATAAGCCGAGCAACAAGTCAGTGTTTGTCCCGCTTTCTCTCCCTTCCTCTCTCTTTAAAATCAATCAATAAAAAATTTTTTTAAAGTAATGTTCTTACAGTTAAAGCAAAAGATAATACAAAAAGATACATGGTACATTGCGTCTTTCCCCATTTATCTGAGTACTTATATACTACATGCCTGGCACATGGTATTAACTCATTTAATCCTCACAAACAGTGAGTTCATACTATTCAAATTCCCATTTTATAGATGAGGGAACTTAGATTGTCAGAGGCAGGTTGAGTCACTTGTCCAAGGTCATACTCTAGTTGAGGCATTGGGGGGAGACACAGGAGTCAGCCTGTCACAATAACACCCTCTGTAGGTGGCCAAGCAAGAGGAGTTCTTCAATCTGTCCCACTGCCAACTGGTTACCCTCATCAGCCGGGATGATCTGAATGTACACTGCGAGTCTGAGGTCTTCCATGCCTGTATCAACTGGGTCAAGTACGACTGTGAGCACCGACGCTTCTATGTCCAGGCGCTGCTGCGGGCTGTGCGCTGCCACTCACTGACGCCCCACTTCCTGCAGATGCAGCTGCAGAAGTGTGAGATCTTGCAGTCGGACTCCCGCTGCAAGGACTACCTGGTCAAGATCTTCCAGGAGCTCACCCTGCACAAGCCCACACAGATGATGCCCTGCCGGGCTCCCAAGGTGGGCCGGCTTATCTATACTGCTGGTGGCTACTTCCGCCAGTCACTCAGCTACCTGGAGGCCTACAACCCCAGTGATGGCACATGGCTCAGGTTGGCAGACTTGCAGGTGCCTCGTAGTGGCCTGGCAGGCTGCGTGGTGGGTGGGCTGCTGTACGCTGTGGGCGGCAGGAACAACTCGCCTGATGGCAACACCGACTCCAACGCCCTGGACTGCTACAACCCCATGACCAACCAGTGGTCGCCCTGTGCCCCCATGAGCGTGCCACGCAACCGAATTGGGGTTGGGGTCATCGATGGGCACATCTATGCTGTTGGTGGCTCCCATGGATGCATCCACCACAACAGTGTGGAGAGGTGAGTGGCAGGGCCAGAAGGGGTGGGCTCAGAGTGTCCCACAGCTAACAGGTTCCAAGCCATTGGCATTTGGGGATTCCTCCTATTGAGTGCCTATCTATACACGCTGCTTTCAGGGAGCAGAAACCTCGAATTAAAGCTAAACTCGAGGGAGATTTATGGTGGTGATCTTGGATGATGTGTCTAGGCCTGGGAACTGCTTACAGGGCCATCACAAAACCATATAGCTTCTTTGTGTAGATTTGGAAAAAGTTCCATCAGTTTGAAATTGTTGTAATATGCTAATTTTGTTAAAACATAACCCCTCACTCTCCTCTGCTCAAAAATTGTTGTAATAAACAGATATATGAGGTCTGGTGTGGAAAGCGCCCCCTTGGATGTGGTGCCCTTGTGCAGTGCACAGCATGCTCAACTGCACATAGTGACCCTATGTTTAGAGGCCAAGCATTTTGGACTTTTGCATAGCTTAGTCTTCCACCTTCTCTTCTTCCAGAAGGGTGAGCCAGGATATAGTTCTCACCTTGAGAAACTGTTAAACTCCCCAGCCCAGGGGGCATCACTCAGCGCTTGTGCATCAACCTAAGATCCAGGAGATCGAGGTTCAGTTTCCAGTCAGGGCACATGCCGGGGTTGTGGGCTTGATTCCCAGCAGGGGGCTTGCAGGAGGCAGCTGATCAATGACTCTATCATCATTGATGTTTCTGTCTCTCTCCCTCTCCCTTCTTCTCTGAAATCAATACAGACATATTTAAAACAACAATAACAACAAAACACCTCTCCAGCCTGCTGGAGATGTGGAGATCTGGCATTGGTGGGTGGGTTTGGAGCAAATACCCCAGAGGTTTTAAACAAATACCCCAGAAGTTTCTAATGCATGTGGTCTGTGACTACGATGATGGGATGATGCATCACCCTTAATAGGCCACTTTTATATATATATTTATTGATTGATCTCAGAGAGAGGGAGAGAAACATCAATGATGAGGAAGTTGTCATTGTTCAGCTGCCTCCTGCACACCTCCTACTGAGGATAGACGTGTGTGTGTGACCTTGAGCACATTAACAGCTGTGAACCTCAGTTTCCTTATCTGGAAAATGGAGCTACTGATAACTTGCGCTTTGGAGAACAATTGTGAAGATTAAAGAGCTAGTCCATAAAGAGCTAGCAGAATATTGGGCTTTAGTAAGTGTTCCTTGAAGGTCAGCTATGACTGCTGCTGTCATTGTTATTGTACCCTTGCAGGTATGAGCCAGAGCATGATGAGTGGCACTTGGTGGCCCCAATGCTGACTCGGAGGATCGGAGTGGGAGTGGCTGTTCTCAACCGGTTGCTCTATGCCGTTGGGGGCTTTGACGGGACGAATCGACTCAACTCAGCCGAGTGTTACTATCCAGAGAGAGATGAGTGGCGAATGATCACACCCATGAACACCATCCGAAGTGGAGCAGGTGGGTGGGGGCTGAGGGGAGGGGACCGTGGAGGAACACCCTCCCAGCCCCAGGAGTGAAACTTGCCCAGGCCTGGCTGAGGCCTCTTGTTTCCACCTTGAATAACCCTGTGGCACACGGGAGAGCCAGATTTTGACAGAATTCAAGTTCCTTTTTCCTGGCTTAGTTTCTGAAGGGTCCTTCTGGAGAGGGAGGAGGGAGAAGTCCCCCAAGAAGGTGGTGGCTGGAGCCCCTTAGGCCAGGCCCCGGTGTTCACCCTCTCTTCATGGTGTGGTTTAGGAGTCTGTGTCCTGCACAACTGTATCTATGCCGCTGGGGGCTACGATGGTCAGGACCAGCTGAACAGTGTGGAGCGCTACAACGTGGAGACAGAAACATGGACTTTTGTAGCTCCCATGAAGCATCGGCGAAGTGCCCTGGGGATTACTGTGCACCAGGGGAGAATCTACGTTCTTGGTGAGGCCCTGGGGGGGGGGGG